GCCGGGCCGCGCCAATAGAGGGCGCAGCGTTCACTTTTTGTCGGCGATTTCGTGGTAAACGCTTACATTAACATGGACGGTGCGCGCGGCCGGCGTAAATTGTCTCCTTGGCTATACGTGTGCTAATTGTTAACGGCTAAATCATTAATATTCATTTTTGACGCTAACATAAGTGTTTATTTACACCATGATGGGCTCAGACTCTGAAGGATTCGCTCATTCAATTTATTGCTTTTCTCGAGACGTTTAATAGCGAAAAAGTTCGAATAGCAACAGAACAGTTTATTTAGCCAAATGATACATGTTAACTCATAGATTAAAACCTTTTTGTAATACTTAAAAGCTTTATCTTTGTGTTTTAACCAAATTAAATTATTCGAAAGTTTAGAATCAGTTAGTTGATCGATACTCTTACTGTCTCGCACAAGACTGTTAAAACCTGCCTGGGTCTCTACAAATCGTTTTAATTTATAAAGGCCCCTTAGGCCAACAGTGGCCCATCCGGCAAAAAAAAATAACAACATCGGTGCCATGAGCCCAACACTAATAAAAGGCATATAGTTCTACTTTAACCTTTCTTACAGTTTTTTATTTGTCAATACACGCTTCTTGCTTACGTGTCCGGCAGTCATGACACTGCTTTTTGGAAGGTGACGCTATTTTACCATAGTCATGATATCTCGTAAAGGGAATAATATTATAGAAGTGATCGCAGCTAATGTGTGATATTAATCATTTCTTTTTAAATTGTTTTTAAATTTATTCTGTATATTATATTTTTCTGCGTCCGCAGTACCCGGTCTCCCTCTCCGCCTAACGCAAGCATCGCTGTGAGAGTTCCACTTGCTTTGTATGATCGATACCGGTAGTTAACCACTCGCAGGTGACATTGTAAGCGTTTGCATAACTGCTGTTCTATATCTGATTGTATTTTATCGACTGCGATAGAACTACAATATTTAGAAATTTATACCGCAGGATCACTTGACCAACAACCACCTCATAGTAAACGGTGATTCAGTGGATTATTAACAAGCTGAAGTAGAAACACGTTGATACTCAAAACGGTGTATGGATTGCACTTCATTACCTTTTCGCTCTACCTGCTTAATAGTTGGGTAGTGTTAGGTGTAGGTAGGTCATATTGTTGTGGTATTAGAAAATTTGTTATACAACTTTATATAAATTTAAATATCATGTTACATACATTCTACATAAAAGATTTGCTAAAGATTCTGTTTTTGGATGACAGGAGAGCTTTATTATATCAAGACTGCAACCTGTACCTTGCGATCGTTATTGATTATTTATTGGCTAATGACAGAAATCAATTACATACCACACACACTTACAGAAGAATTATATATAAAAATTTAACAAAAATTCGCAATAAAGGTAAAAATTGTATGAAGTACACTTAAACCTCAATGGAATTGCTTGTTGGATGGTTGGTATTTGATATTACCGTATATCTAAGTGAATACCGATGTTTAACTTGATGCTTGATTATTTGGGACCAGCAGATGCTTTGACTAAGGTCAAACCTTGCGACAGAACCTGGTCACGAATGTCAACGGGGAAGTATACTGTGGCACAGAAGACCGCCGTAAATTTGTACTTTTGCGTTACATCTAGTCATTGACCTGGGCCCAATATTTTAAAGATTGTCAATGAAAAGGCAACCGCACGTATATTGTAATAAATCCGTGGTCAGCGGTTATTACTTAACATCTCCAACCGACCGCCCGTTTGCTTACCACACCGTGTTTGTTCGATGAGCGGAATTGGAAACGAAAATATTATCGAATAAACTCATCGAGAGCGAATCAAAATGAATATTGATGCTTATGGTTATTGTTCGTGGAGGACCGTGAATTGAAACATTAAGTTAAATGGCTCAGTGATATCTAGTCGATGATCTCGGATATTGATCAGATATTGAAATGAAGAGGTTCTCTTTCGAATTCTCGCATTTTAACGAAACGAATATCGTACTTGTTTGATTTTTCATTTTTAAAAAAAGTAACAGCCAATACATGTGCCACTGCTGGGCAAAGGCCTACTCTATACAGAGGGTATCAGGGCATAGTCCACCACGCGGCCCCACTGCGGATTGGCGGACTTCACATATTTTCGAAATATATATTTTTTTGTTATTATTTCGAAAATATGCAGGTTTCCTCACGATGTTTTCCTTCACCGCGGAGCACGTGATAAGTCAGCACTTAAAGTTAAAGTTAAAAACTTCATTGGTGCCGGCATCGGGGATCGAACTCAGGTTGCTCGAGTATATTGAATTAAAGGCGAACGCCCGGACACTGAGCTATCACGGCTCATTTTTAAAGATGTAGGAAAAAACAAAAAAAAAATCAGACAATGTCCATTACGGCGTACATTTTATAATCAGATCTGTCATCATGCAAAAAGAATTCTCTGGCGGAAAAATTATAGAATTCTTTTGGCCTATTTAGACCTAATTATAGTATTATAAGCCATAATTGGAATGAATAAGCGATTTCCTTAGTTATTGCTCTTTAGGCATCAAAATAAGAGTTTCCTAGCACTTTTAATGTTTTATACAACAGGTATCTTCCTCTTGTCACTGATTAAATATTATTTATTATAAATTTAACTGAACAAAGAGCCCCGTTTATCTTATCAACTAATAATATAAATGTCAATGATAATAACAGTGGAAATTTAAGAAAAGCTTAACTGATTCCACTAAAAGGAGTTATAGAAAAGTTCAACTTTGATATTCTTTTAAAATGTTAAATAGATGAAGTGAAAATAAAATAAAGACCTTAAAATTTTGAGAATATGAAATTGACTTGAGCTTATTATGAATGAATACGATACAAATACGACGACGCCAATGTGTGGAGTCAATACTGTTAAGACTATTATACCGGTATGTTATATTGTAAACTGATACTTTTGAAAAAGAGCAACTGTTGAGTTTCTTGCCGGACTCTTCTCAACAGAAACTGCTTTCCGAACCGGTGGTACATTACGAACCTATATATATAATTTATATGTAAAATTTAACGATTCATAACAACGCGCAAGCGTCTATTTGATTTGATTTGATTTGATTTTCACGGTGGTAGGACCACGCAACAGTGTTCGCTGTTGCACGAATGGGTGGGTCCGTCGGGATTAGTACCACGATCTCACAGAAGACCGGCGTAAAGTAGAAGTGTTGCACTTCTGCATTTCGTCTGGTGAGTGAGGTAGCCGGGGCTCACATTATTAAGAGTTGGCAACGCATCTGCAACCCTACGGGTGTTGCAAATGGGCAGGCAGGTTATCACTTAACATAAGGTGAACCGCCAGCTCGTTTGCCACTTTCTGACATAAAAAAAAGATACACACCAGAAAAAAAAGTCATTCGTTTATTAATGAACGATATTCACATAAAGAACGTCACTGGAGTCACGTCTCCTCGTCATCAGCGCTAACCCCAGCGACGGAACGAGGGGCCCCACTTATTGCGGGCACTTGTCATATCAACACAATGAGAGCGGGTCCCCCGGGATGCTTTATTATTTTAATTATTGCATTCGCGATGCGCCCTTTGTGGGGGCGACCGCGGCGCTTTGAAGCGAGCTCGGATCGGCCGGTGAATTGTCGTAATTGAACGCTCTCGACGCTCCACTCATTAATTAGCCCTAATGCTCATTGCTGTACCGGTGCCCAGTTAATTTATTAGGGCCAATTTCTAACGCTCGCATCTTATTGACAATTAGTAGCCCAGGACGCATTGGCTTATTATTATCTCTGTACGCTTTCTGATAATGTCTGCTTATATCATGATTATCATTACCGCTTAGTAGTTAATATATGTAGGTATACTTTTGATTAACGATTTGGTGACGGTTTTGTTTTTGCTTATTTTTAAATAATCTTTATTTTTTATAAACAATAGTTCCATAATTGGGAATATTATATAGGACTGAACTTTATTATGTGCAATGTTGTCAGTGATGCCGCTCGTTAATTTCATAAGTACTGTAATCAGTTTCCAAGCGGGAAACTTTGTGCGTTTACTGACTCGCCAGTCATATTTCTTTGTTTCGCCTTCACTTATTGAGTTTTTATCGCGGACCGGTCGAGATCTATGCGCTAACAACTGCTTGGAACTCTTTGTTCGATATCGCCCCGTGTCCACTTATGTCTTAAAAGGGAATGTAGGAATCCGGTCATTATTTACGCCAGCCGTAAAGCGGCGCGCAAAGTAAGGCGCCGTTGCAAATAATGCAACTGCGGATTTGTTACGTTGCTGTGGATGTAGGGCGACATGCAGCCGTGCTTTCGACACGACAAACCTAGCGCGGCGACACTGAGCTCCGATAAATGCAACGTTCACTTTTAACGTCCACGCGATCGGATAAGGCGATTTGCCTTAACGACAAACCGTTAAGAAGATACGCGAAGGATAGTGCCAAAAGTTGAATTAAACCATTTTTAAATGCACAATAATTGTTTGGCACTTAGGAAGCTCATTGAAGCATTTATGTGACACTCGTCAGTTGTTTGCTTGTGTAGTCATTACGTCTCACATCATAACAGTTCCTGTCCTGTTTGTGTTTTCGAAGTAATTACTTTTCACATGTGCGGTTTCTTCCATGATCATCATAAACATAAAAATGTTATATTTATTGTTATTATTTTCACGTCCGCCTATGTGAATATTATGAATATTTGAACTTAGAAATACTGCTAGATAATAAACAGCGAACAATTATCTTACAATAACAGCTACAAAGATATACTCGAAGTAACGAAGTGTTCAAAGGTATGGTAAGTATCTAGTAACTAACGGTAAACACTTTTCAACAAAGAACGTTTCGTGTTCTTAAAGGTTTATTTCTACCGTTCCAATTGCAAGTTATGTATGTCTTATGGTTACACAAAAATATAAATATCGTTTAAGACGATCGGGAGGAAATAACCAACGGTCGTTAAGTGAGTTGCTCTTTAATAACAGATAAAAATAGATGAAATACTTCGCCCGTCGCAAAAGTTACTTCGCTCAAGGTAGGCAAAGGCGGGATTTATAAAGTAGCGGGGACATCGCTTCGAAAGCGGGCGGCGCATATTTTATCCTCCAAGCTCCCGATCCGATCTTCATAACGAAATTCTCCGTTTTGATATTATATTTATATTGTTAACGTTTCGTACCTGCATATTTCTAACGGTAAATATGAAAATTTCGTGAATACCGGCGACCTCGCCCCCACGGTTCTTGTGGAACAAAGATACTCGGTATTAAGAAATTTCAGATTCGACATTCTGATGTTTTCGTTTGCGATTTTTACGTTTGGCATTTGTCGGGGATTTAAGCCACTAAATGCTGATTTTGTTTGAATTATTCATTTACGAAGAATGATACCTATATATAAATTTATTTTTCATTTATATTTCATTATTATTACGTATTTTAGACCTAATAGCAAACAATGTTTTCAACTAGGAGACCTTTGTAAGATGACAAATAACCAAATCTTAGATGACATAAAACCTTGTTTTTCAAAATTTATCTATGGACTACTTTATCGGAGATAGTAACTTATGTATTCAATATTCTTATAATAACTAGTAGGAATTTACGTTCGCGGTATAAATGTTCTATTTCCAAATTACGGTATTTATAATTTTTATGAATTGAAGCAAGGCTTCCTGAGTGAGTGCAAAAGGTTAGCGGAGCACCGGAAACTCAAGATGTACGTCATATAGCATTGAGTAACCTCACCAACAAAACAACGCTATATAGATTTCAGTAGGACAACTCTACAGGGTTTCATAAGAAGCAGAGTTTTCGTCCTCTCAAGTTCGCGGGCACCGGTAGGTACCAGTTGTAAATCTCGTTGTATACTCATGCGTGGTCGTCAGCCACAATACTATCGGGAGTTTACGACACACGCATCCGAACGGATAAGCAAACATCGACGCACGTCAGAGCCAAGCTCACGTTACCATTCATACCGAATGCCGTTATATATAATATGTTACGATCGCGCGATTATACGCGAGACGGTTTTGATTACGAAAAAAATATATAGCAATTGGTACTTGTTTTAATTTCCCTATTATGTTATTATGTACTCTACGACTCTTTAGCCCAGTCGTTGCCCACGCACTGACTTCCACATGTACTCTTTTGTTGGTTATATAGTCCTAAGCATTACGGAAGTATCCCCATCTCTATAATATATTAGTTTAATGAAATGTTGCATAAAAATTACTATTTGTATAACGTTACTGTCTATTATATAGACAGGTATTCGGCAGATTAATATGCGGTAGCCACTCTACATGCTTAAGATGCTATAATAGCTATAAATCGTTTATATTTTATAAGGAAACCAATAAACGGTTATGGTCTCATTACTTTGTGAACACTCACGATATGTTTATTTTATGAAGTGCATGTTTGTAAATATGTTTTTATGGTTTATAATACACGCGAGCTCTGTTGATGCACAAATTCATGCTGTAATGTGAATTGAACCTGTTAATTTCACGCGTAGATGAATTTAATTTACTACTTTATTATAGTACATGACCCGATTGGTGTAGTGGATATTAGAACCAAGAGTGTGCGAGTTCGATCCCCACTATTGGAAAATATTGTTTGATAAATAAGTGTAATGTGATAATATCTCACGTGTGTTTTCGTTTGCAGCGAGCGGCGCGCTCGCAGCCGGCACGATTGCGTCCCCGTGGAGCGCAGCGGCCGGCGCGCCCGACACCAACGGATCGGGCGGCGCCGACGCGAAGCACCTGGACGTCGGCGACGCGAGCGACGATGAGAAGGTGAGCTTTATTACTCGGCTTTCGAGAAGCTTCTTGTTTAATTAATGATACAAGGCGGCATGTCGCACTAGTGTCAAACACTCGCTGCTGTGCTCTCGAGCGACGATGAAAAGGTAGGCTTCATTGCACGGCTTTCTAGAAGCTTCTCGTGTTTTTAATGGTGTAAGGTGGCATTCTCTCTCGGGTCTTACACGGTGAAAGAGGTGCGCCAGTGGCACTATGCCTCCCCGCAAAACCTGTACGTGCGGTAGAGAGCCCAACGGTAGCGTCCTGCTCCCACATTTTATCACCCTGCGGGCAGCGAGCGTTTGGCATTAGTGCAACAAGTATGACAAGTCCTATGACAAGCGATTACCGCCGCTTGTGGATATCGGCGATATCAACACCAGCTGGTTTAGCGGTTCACTTGATGGCCAGCGATTACTGGCGCCTCCGAAACAAACTTGGTAGTCTTCTGTAAAGCATCTTTAATTAGAGAAGATCCCAAATTAATGAGGGATGAAAATGATTAAGTGACTACCGCCGCTTCTGTATCATCACCGCTTATGTACATCCGCAACAATCCGAGACTGTTCTCATTTCGTAAAGGTTCATTCGATTTTTTTTAATGTAAGAATATATCGAGCGAGCTGGGGCCGGTCACCTGATGTTAAGTGATAACTGCCGCCCATTTAAACACCCGTTGCGTTGCTGATGCGTTACCACCTTTAAATAACGTGAGCTCTGGCAACCTATCATTGACCAGACGAAACGTAGAAGTATATCACTCCGGTCTTCTGTGAGGTCATGGTACTTTCCCGGACAGTCCTGCCCATTCGTGCAACAGCGATGACTGTTGCGTGATCCTACCACAGTAAGATGTAATGGTAAGTGATCGATGCAAATCTTGGACATCGGCAACGTCTGTGGAATCGTAGATGTGTTTCTAACAAATGTTTAAACCCACCCAGTATTAGACGGTTAATGACCTCATCTTTGAAGGATTAAAATTATGTTAAATGATATTCGCAAAGTTCTTTCTCTTTTAGCAAGTATCCACATTCATGCCTATAATTTCACGTGTATAGTATAACCCTTAATCATTGCGTATACTCTGAAATAAGTTTATGCCAGAATTTTAATGTAGTTGACTTTTTTGCCTATGGGGAGATAAGGTTTTCATAAGAATCTAGCACTCTATTGCGCTCATTTCTGAGTAGTAAACATCGCCATCATCATCATCATCATTAACTGCTGCTTTCCTCTATAATAGTAGATGTTCTACGCATTTATGCAGATTTTTAAAAACACACACTGACTGTTTATTTCTCTATTTAAAAGAAAAATAGGCGTTTTATTACCTGTTTTATGAAACTAAAGTAATCGTCTTAAAGTATTTCTTTTTGCCGGCATTCGTTTTCGATTTTTATGACTTTAACAAGATTTGTCAATACTTTTAAAAATATATTAATAAAAAAGTTTTTAATAAAATTAAAAATATGTTTTCTTTGCAAGCTTTTTATATTTGTTGTGATATATGTTTTCTTTTCAAATTTCAAATGACAGTTTACAGATCGCATTCATTCGAAGTCATTGACGTTCCTATTATTATTTGAAACGCGTTGTAGAACTAGCGGAACCACAACACCAGTAACGATTAGATGTAATATTATAAGAGGAAAATGCTACAAAGCGACCACCTGCTTCCTGCTGCAATTGTTGCTAAGACTACTCGTATAACCTATTCATTTTAATTTCGAACCCTTTGCATGATCAACTTTAATTGTAATTTTTATGTTGAGTTTGCAGAACTTGTTTATTTTACACATAAATGAATGTAGAGCAATCACAAGTGTACTTTCAGTTTTTAACTTTAAACCGTTATGGGGACATGAAACGTGTTTCCATTTTCGTTTTATAAATTAAAAACAACACTGCCGCGGCGGTGAGATACATACATATTAAAAATCGAATATAATCAGGAGCCTTTTTATGCCGGCCAAATGAATCAACATAACAGCACGGCTCACACCGTTAAGCCTAATTTATTCCGACACGCGCAAGATACAAATGCATAAGTACAACAGGTGTAGCGATATTCGTAATTCGGCGATATCGCTCGACTATATTTCGAGTGGTCTTCTGAGAACGGCTCCGTGTGATTCACGATGTTTTCGAGCGACTCCGGCGCGGGGCCGGGGCGAAGGCGGCGTCCGTGTATTTTTATTTTCCTTTGGGAATAGAACCCAGTCTATTAATTACAATGACGCACACCGCGCCTCGCGTTTCGGCTCAGGCGAGACCGAGAAGTTCCGACTCTAACATCTGTTCTATGTACTGACTCGTCACTCTTTTGATAACACCACTATCGCGTTCTGTAGTGGACTCGCCGTTTAATTAATTTAGTTCCTTTCGTGTTCTTGTGCTCAGAAACTGGTGCAGTATTTGAAAGGGGATTATGTAGGTCGAACTGATTATCGATATCTGTACTAACGGACGTTCATTTGTAAAGCTATAAAGCGGATGCAGGTTTTATGGTTAAAGTACAAGAGAAAAAGGTCGCCGAAGTTAATATCTCCACTCCGAGATTAATTCATTTCAAGTCAATTTAGATCCATAGTTGCGTATTAGTTTGCTATAATTAGAGACAAGCACTTTCGGTTTAACATCAACATCTCTACATCATTTTGTCCATTAACGTTGATTTAAGCCTTCATTTCATGTTAACAAATTTCATTTTTTGTTGTAAACATTAACTTTGAGTTATTTCAATCTATGTCAAATGTTTCATCAGTAATGTTTTCACAAAAGGTAATTGTTTCCAAGTTGTTGTTACATGAACATGTTTTGAATTAAAATTGTTTCACGAATTTATAAGTTTCATAAACGTTACTTTGAACGGCTTCTGGAGTTATGTATTATAACCACTTGGAATTTACCAAGACTGATCACGTTAAAATGTGTGAGAAAACATTCGTCATTCACACAAATTAATTCCAATAGTATTTTTACGCTGTGCAAATATTTAGAGGAACGAAGGTCAAGGTGAAATCAGCGCGGCAAAACTCATTCGCTAACTGATGTAAATTCATTAGAAGATCTGTTTCCTTTAATCGAAGGCATTATTTCACTCGTGATCAAGGAACTTGCTGTGTTAAATCTATTTTGTATTAAATAATTCCTTTTCATTCTTTTAATTCTGTTAATTAACTTTTCTTTTGTTTATGCTGTATTATTTTTGAACAGTTTTTCAAATCACAAATTCTTGCGATCTAACACATTGACACATTTCAAAGCGATGTGTTAATTCGATATGAGTCAAAATATTTGACACCAGCTGTTGTAAAATGAGAAACTTTCAATTTTTAACTAAACACATGTTCAAAACGTTCATGACGACACTCTGTTAGATGAGAAAATCAACAAACTGCGCTTCAAACGATATAGATTCGCTCCTGAATAGTGGGCATGATTTTTTTAACCCTATATAGTTTATGCCATACATTAATCGACCCATAATCTTAGTTTACCAACACCATTTTAGTTACTCTTAGAACGGTATCTACTTTAGTTATTTACTCAGTCTTTTTAAGCTTACTGTTCTATCAGTATATCTGTTTATGTAACTTTGTTGTAAATTAATTTTTGAAGAATAAAATGTATCGAACAGAATTAATTTTATTACTTTTACGCGGAGCTTGAAATTGAAATTTTATTTTGTGAATTAAATAAATTATACGTCTATAGGAAATGATTAAGAAAAGATTTATTTTTGTCTAAATGGAGGTTTATTTCAGGATCTATCGGCAGCCGACGCGGAGGGTGTATGGAGTCCAGACATCGAGCAGAGTTTTCAAGAAGCGCTGGCTATATACCCGCCATGCGGCAGACGCAAAATCATACTCTCCGATGAGGGCAAGATGTACGGTGAGTCCGGACATGCTAGAGGAACTCTTAAACTATAGGCCTAAATGTAGCACGTTCCATGTTGTTCATCCTTCACAGTAAGGACAACGAAACTATAAAATCCATCAAGTGGTTTTACTTTTACTTCCAGTTTTAGTAACCCACTTAGGTAATTGGAAGTTTAAAGTCGGTGTTTGGCCTCTTTATTTTAACAAAGGCGTTCACAGACATTAAAGTTTTCTGACATAAAAATTAGGTATGCAAAAACTAAAAGAAATTATTGTTTCTTAAAGGAATTAAAATTATTTCACTAGTCATTTAAAATCTGAACTGCTTGAAAGGGCCCCAGGATAACAATAATTATTCCTATAAAATGTACATAAAACTAATATTTTTAATTTAAACTGTGATTTTTGTTTTAGTTAAAGGTGCAATTGAAAAACAAATATTTCTAAAAGAAATTAATTAGACAAAAATGGATGGTGATAGGTTCTTCTGACATAAAAACACGGTAACATGTAAAAATTTACATAAGGTTTTTGGAAGAACATATGACCGTGATAAAAATAAATAAATTTCTTTAAAATGTAAAAAAATATAAATTAATAATTTTTGGACATGACCTCAAAAAATGTCTCCTTTTATATGGATGTTGCATGCCTCTATACAAGTCTTCTTTGTAAAAAATGCAAATATTATCCTATAGCGCTTTCATTATATACATATAAGGAATTATTTAATACATTAAATAATTCCTTTTCTTGCATAAAAACTTGCTACCTGTTTTCCTTTTTATTTACATCAAAAAAAATAATAACATGGTTTGCTAAGACATTTTTTCAAGCAATTATTACCTGAAATAATTAACGTGAAAAATGCTAGGTTTCCGCGTGACTGACTTGTATTGACCTGAACGTGAAATGTCCACACGCACTGGACTTCCGCGATTGAGACCTTGATATAACTGAAATACGGCAGCATACACTGCAGCTAGTACATACCACCACGCTTTTGGATGTTTTACGAGTATATCCTTACTAATATTATAAAGGCGAAAGTTTGTATGCATGGATGGATGTTTGTTACTCTTTCACGCAAATACTACTGAATGGATTTTAATGAAACTACAATAATATAACTTATACACTAGAATAAGACATAGGCTATAATTTATATACATATTTTTATGTACATCTGTCTTTCCGTCTGAATGTTACGCCTTCAATTCTAGTAGTCTAGGCAGCAGCTAGTTTAAAATAAAAGGTATTTAATAAAAGGTATTTTTACAGTAAATAGCAAACACCAAGATTTAAAAAAGTTAAAGCGCACGCGGTATTTTGGTAAGCTGAATTGATATATTCTTAAGCCCGGATTAAATAAATGCGTATCTTTCAAATTGTCCAAGTTACATGGCAATTCCTCAGTTGTTATAATTTAGATCATCCTCATCCATAAGAATTCACTGGTATTTCACTGAAACTATCGGTTGTAATATGCAATGGAGAGCCGCCTATATTGAATAATTTTGGAAAGAATCTCCGCTTCTCTTTTTTGTCTTTAAATTAGACATTTTTTTATAAAAGTTTTTAACCTTACAAAAACGAGCGATTCGGGAAGTTAACAAATTGAGTTCACACCAGACGCAATAGGCTTATAAAACTTTGTAGTATTTGGGAATAAGCATTTTGCTACCGATTGAACTCTCGATTGAATCATCAACAGTTTTGCAATCTCCGCGCCGGTCAACGTGCCAACGGCTGGATTAAAACCGAAGCAGCGCTTCCGTTCGAATCGCTTACGCTTCAATTCTCCCGCGTTTGATGCCCGGGCCGACCAAGGCCGCCCGAATACGAACAATGCCCGTGCCGCGAGACAAAAGGCGCGCTGGCTATTGACGAGGGGACCGAAGGCGGTTTGCGCAATAGGATTCCACGGAACGACGTGGACCGACAATAATTATCTCCCGATCGCCTCGCCAACGGTTCGAGGAAGCGCCGTGGAGTCGCTTTGCTTTGCTCTTCGCGGACTAAGGGAGAAATAACTCTTGCACTCGGAATGCTGCACTAATGTAAGACGGGAGACTGTTATTGCGCTTCAGCTGCACCGGCAGAATGGGCGATAAAGTTGTTTCTTGACCCAACTTTATTAAGGTCGTCTCTGTTGGTTTTTCCGTGTCCGTGTGGAAAATGTATTTGTTAACCAAGGTTGTTTAATATACAACTCATTCATGCGGTTTCGTTTCACTTATACATATCTTAGTCATACTCCAGAGTTAGATCCTACAGAGACCGCGTATCTTCGGGGATAAAATGTGTCTATTTGGCTCTGCGACCGACAAAACTGTGGCCATGCAAAAAATCACGTCGATCCCTTTCGGTGCGAAGGTGAACAAACCGACGCGTTATCGTATTTACATTATTAGTGTAGTAAAATAGTAGATTTAATAAAATTCAACCCAGTATTATGTTTAATGGATGCGATATGAAATATACAGTCTTATTGTATGAGTTTAAATAAAACTAGAATATGTATTTAAATAATTTAAACAATATTTATTATCGCTTTATACTACGAGCTCTATTTATATTAAGATTGTGTATTCTCTTTAACCGGTATTAATACAATACCAGTGACGCTCTTCTGCCATGCGACGAATCGTAGTTGGGGACGACATTTATTTTTAAAACGCACCTGTTGCTTACTGCGGGCTGAACTCTTCGCGAGTTGACGCCGCAATATGTTGGATCGTGCATTGTATTATTCGATAGATGTTTTCCTAATATCCTACATGACGCACAAATATTATAATAATAAAGTTTTAATGACGAGTTTGAGTAGAAATGGCGGATAAACATTCAGCGAGTGTGATGGGAGCGAAATTTTTACTGCAAGCTTGAGACCTTCATTAAATAATTTATAATTTAATAATTACAAGGATGACTTAACTTTAAATACTACTACGACTTGCCATTAAATACATCAAACGGACAGTAAGAAAATTAAAGTAATAAAAACGTGTATTAACTTACTGGAAATCAGTAATTGTTCTAGTATATTTCTAAAATGATCCAAATGATGATTGAAGTAATTATAAAGTTCAGAATAATGTTGATAATTATTATTACCAAATAAATAAAAAAAATAAAGTAACAACTTTAGTAAATTACATGCAATTTAAAAAAAATGTTAAGTTAATTGTTATGTCCTATTCTAGTTATTTAATATTAGTACGGTTTTAACGAGAATTAACTATCGCTGAGAAAGGACACGAATAAAGTGAGGCTATGCTAGCTAAACGTTAATTATTTAATCAATAATTAATGCGACACTTAGCCTTAAAAAGGTTTTATAACTCTTGTTATTGTAATTGAAACGAAATGAGTACTGATAAAGTGATACACTTGATGGAAATGACGGTGATACATGACAACTCGAAAAGTCAGAGCTGTTCCAGACGCGGTGCCAACAACTGTTTCAATTAAGTGACGAAATTTTAAAGTCCGCTTTTTCTTTTTTTCCTGTCCTCATCACACCTAGGCGGGGTTGGCTGTGAATGTTATTAACGATATTGGCAGTCTTTTTGCGACCGGCCGCCTGCCTGACGTCAACCCTCTTTAGGAATAAACACCCAGATCCGGAGCAATTATCTATGGGTCACACATATTATACTTGTCCCGTGTGGGAATTGAACCGACGATCCCCGGTGTCGAACCAATAGCTTAGCAACTGCGACAGCAAGTCACGAACGCGGCGAAACGCTAAAGTGTAGTGTATAAAAAATAACTAAGTTTATCTTCTGTTACGCTTTGGTACCCCCAAACCCGTGGGTTCTGGCTAGCCCACCGGTTCTGCATCCGATGAAGCTTTAATAGTCTCGGGACTGAAAACAAAAACATCAGTTATACAAGATACAAGCTTTGGTACCACCTCCTTGACTGAGCCGATTCTTACACTAGGAGGTGTAATATAAGCTGGTGTCGCTATGTTACCCATGATAGCTCAGTGTCCGGGCAACCCGAGTTGCAATCCTGGTGCCGGCACCAATGAAATTGTTAATGGCTTGTTTATGTGCTTACTTATCACCGGCTCAGCAGTGAAGGAAAACCCGCATATTTCCGAAATTAATAACAAAAAAAATTTTTCGGAAGCTATGTAAATTCAGCCAATCCGCAGTGGAGTCGCGTGGCCGACTACGCCCTAATACCAATGACATAGTATACAAATAAGAGATAGAGGTAGATATGACACTAGCGCACCGAAACTGAGGCACTCAAATTACGCCAATTGTTGTAATTAGATTGCAACTAAACACTGCTATCGATTTCTGTATAATACCTTCTATATCATCTGTCACATTCACTTAGATATGTCCATATAATGTAAAGCAGATAATTTTTTAGACGCCGCGCAGTTTGAACAAGCGTCATCTTTAGTAAAACATCATTGCTTGCCTAATACCCTCTGTACAGAGTAGGCCTTTGCTCAGCTGTGGGACATTTACAGGACATTAGTTTGCCATCGTCTGTTTGTCAGTTTGTCATCAATATCGTCGTGATGCTGCTATTCTTTCGCTGCGGCATGCCCCGCGTCAAATTTAATCCGTTCGGTCACGGAGTCTGTACGTCGGCGGGTTTCGGAAAATCGTGCCCCGGACTTATTCAGAGCGAGAATTCATTAAGCTGCGACGTTTAGCCGAAAAGCTCGGCTCTCCAACGGCATTTTTTCACGTTTCTCTGTTAACTCAGGAAGCTCGTTAACGCGACGTGACAATTGCCACTTAAATGAAACCTTTCCCCTCGGGCGAAACAACTGTGGCGCCCGGAAGTCTCTTGCGCTTCGACACCCGCTGGATACACTTTACTTTTTGCTAAACTCCAATATCTGTGTGATCGGAGAACCTTTTTTTATATTTTAGCGAATAATTCAAATAAATGCTTTCAATTATTACTTGGTTTAATAGATCGGCAAGGCCCTAGGGTATAAAGGCATATGCGAATTTCTTTAATTATTCCTTTCATAAA